CGACAAAATATCAACCCAAATAATCCTATGTACAGAGTACCGCCAAACGCGTATACGCAAATAAGATAACAGCACAAAGAACATCTATTATATATAACTAGAGGCTCTAAAGGACCTGCCTCGCTCACCTAGGCCTATGTGCATCTTCGAAAATCTCAAACATTGTAGACTAGAATTTAATTCATGACTACAATCTCATTTTTGTTGATTTCATATGGCTTTTCATTTTTCTGTTTACAATTTCTCTTAATCTTCTATACGGTATATAGTTTTTGTCCAAGGCACAAAACAAAGTAAAAAAAAATGACATTTAAGAGTTATGACTCCTATAAAAAGACTCGTCTTGCTAATCATTTTTGCTTTTAAAGTTGCTGTCTGCCTATTATAATACTTTTCAAGATTATAGGCAAAAATGCAAACAATTCATAGGTTTGAACGTTGTTTTCAATTTAGACTTGTTTATATATTTTCGTTTGGGCTTGTATTATATTTGCCTTCGGGTTTATATGATCCGTTCATCCTATTTTGACTCCTCAAAATTCAAGAGTCTGTCCTAAATTGAGGTAAATTATATGGCCTTCCAAATACCGTTTCGATTCCTAACATCACTGAAGAGACATTAATTGACGAAATCCGGATATGGTGTACAAAAATCTTTGCACCTTTGTTTGCGGTATACCATCTTTGCCGCAAGTTTATTGTTTTCTGTTTGGTATTAAATTTATAATTAAGATCCATTTATTACACCTTGTGATCCGTTTATTTGGCAATCGCCAATGGCAGTCAGCAAGGTTTAAGAACATTTGTTGGTCGACCTGTTAGTCAAATGCGTTTTGTTAAAATATACTTTTTCACTTTTTTGGTCTTTTGGAAAATGTTGTTTGTGCTGTATTTAGACCCCTCTAACAAGAAATTTGTTTTGCATCAGTGCACACGTATAAAAATTGCGGTTTTTATCCAACGCAATCATAGGTTTGAACGTTGTTTTCAATTTAGACTTGTTTATATATATTTTTTTATATATATATAAATATCAGCACAACAATGTTAAATCTGCAAATTTGCGGAAACAAATTTTTGTTCTTCCCTCGCCGGGATTCGAACTCATGTATTTTGTGAAATAAAATATATTATATGCTGAATACTTTTCTTAAAACGTATTAATAGCTTCCACACTTTTTTTTAACTAGACGGTAAATAATTCTATTATACGGTTTGATGTAAATTTTCTTGATAAAATTTTAATAGGGTCTTAGAACAAATGATTTTTCATTATTTGACGATCTCAAAGAATATTTTGCAAAATTAGCTCATAAAGAAAAGATATCACATACATATGAAGGGGCAGAATCGCCGGTTCAGTTTTATGGGTTGCATGGACCCTCCTCTGCTGATTTTTATAGTTTGTTCTTATGTTGTGTTGTTACACCAATATCCCAGGTGGTGAAAGTTTTATTTGGGGTGGGGTGGGGGTTGCCGCAGACTTCTTTTAGTCCTGCCGCATTCTGCGTGTATGTCCAAAGTCGGGATCATGTGATTCAGTGGTTGCCGTTTAATTTGTTGCTTTTATTGTTTTAAATTATTTGTAATTTGTTGCTTTTATTGTTTCTTTGTAATTTCGGGGCTTTTTATAGCTTCTTCTTCTTCTTCTGGTATACAGTTACAACTTCATAAAATTGAAGATTACGTACTGTTTGTATGCGTCGGGAATGTAAATAAACATGTATCAAAGAAAAGTGCAAAACAATAATAATTTAAATTTTGAGAATTTATTTTGGTGTGACTATATACATGATCAAGAAATTAAGTGATTTAAAAACTGTGTTCATTGATATTTATACAGTTATATAGATTGAATTATAGAGAACAGTTGGTGTCAACTGTTCTCGGAAGGATTCGATTGTGGGACATGCTATAACAACATCTGGTAGCATGTTCCGCTGAACTATTGTATGAGGAAAATATGACTATTTGTAACTTTCTTTTGTTATAGAGGTTTGTCGAAATGTTTGGTTGTGTGTTTTTCTTGTACTAGTGTCTGTTGAAATTAGTGCTATTTGTGGTATTGCAATTACTCTGTGTACGACTTATTAAAACAGGATTACGTAACCCGCTAATTAACATGTTTAAACCCGCCCCATTCTGTATGTATGTGCCTGTAATTCAGTGGTTGTCGTTTGTTGCTGTGTTACATATTTGTTTTTCGTTCATTTTTTGTACATTAATTAGGCCGTTAGTTTTCTCAATTGAATTGTTTTACATTTGTGATTTCGGGGCCTTTTATAGCTGACTATGCGGTATGGGCTTTGCTCATTGTTGAAGGCCGTACGGTGACCTATAGCTGTTAATTTCTGTGACATGTGGTCTCTTGTGGAGAGTTGTCTCATTGGCGATCATACCACATCATCTTTTTTATAATTAGTCTGGTTTTTAGAGGGCGCTCTGCAAGTGTTCGCCATTCAATATAGAAATAAGAAGATGTGGTATGATGATTGCCAATGAGACAAATCTCCACAAGTGACCAAATGACCATAAACTATAGGTCAACGTACGGCCTTCAACAATGAGCAAGTTTGTTTAACATAGTTGTTATATTATACTGGTGTTATTGTAGATGTTGCATGTATAGCGGGCAGCACGCCTCTGTACAATTTCAAGCTTGTTCGTGTGTTCTGCTGTATGTGGATCCCAAAGGCTGCAACTATATTCAAGTTTAGGTCTTACAGTTGATTTATATGCACGTGATTTTATTTCGCTGGTTGAAATTTTTAAGTTTCTTTTAAGAAAGCCAAGTGACTTTTTTGCACTAGATGTAATATTTTCATAGTGGTTATTCGTTTGAGGTTCGATTGTACTGTTACATTCAGATATTTTGCAGATGTTACGGGTTCTAAAATATGGCTTATCTGTAGAATGTAATCGTGCTTGAATGTGTTTTTTTTCCCTGTGTGATGTTAAGTACCGTGCATTTGGATGAATGGAAGGCCATCAGCCAATCAGCCTCCCATTTGGCAACAGCGTCAATGTCTGCTTGTAGTTTTTTACTGTCTTCTTGGCACGTAATTTCTTGATATATTATGCTATCGTCAGCAAAGAGTTTTTACTGTGTTATAAATATTTTGGAAAGTCGTTTATGTAGATTAAGAAGGGTATAGGCACAAGGACTGTTCCTTGGGGCACACCGGATGTTACTGGTACGATGTTTGATGAAATTCCATCTATATAACTACTGTTTGATTTCGGTCTGATAAATAAGACTGAATCCATTTTAGTGTGTTGTCTTATATGCCATAGTATTTTAGTTTATATACTAGTAGTAGACGACGGTGGGGAACTTGATCGAAGGCGTTGGCAAAATCCACAAGATCTGTTTGGATGTATTTGTTGTTATTGTTATGTAGACTAAGTTCTTGTATGCATTGTATAAATTGTGACTCACATGATCTCGATTTTCGGAAACCATGCTGGAGGTCGTAAAGGGTGTCGTTTGTTTCTAGAACGTCCAATGATGTTACTTGTCACAACGTGTTCCATTATTTTGCAGCAGATACACGTTAAAGAGATGGGTCTATAATTTTCAGCTTAGTAACGTTCACCCTTTTTAAAGGATGGTGCTATTTTTGCTTCTTTCCAGTCTTTTAGGAGTTTGGCAAGTTTCTAATGATTTGGTGAAGATGCTTGTTAAGATTAGTGCTATATGTGTTCTTAATTCTTTTAAAACCCTACCACTGATATTATCTGATCCACTGGCTTTGTGCGGAGTTTTGTAGTAATTTGTCTACACCTGCTGATCTGATTTTAATTTCTGGCATTTGAGTGTGTGAGCTTGGAAATGGGGAATGTGTCAAAGAGACAACAACCCGACCATAGAGCAGAAGTGTCTGTTACAAGTATGACTTCTTTTTTCAAAGGTGAGATTCCTTCGAGTGCTTTTGGTGTCCATTGTGAAATTAAGGCCGTACAATGACCTATAGTTGCTATGTAAATTATACGTCATTTGGTTTCTGGTGGAGAGTTGCCTCATTGGCCATCATACTGCCATATCTTCTTACTTTTATAGGTCTTTATACATAGTTTTCGAAACAGCCTGTAATATCTAGCATCATGTTGTGCATTACGAACTCACAATAACTTTTCAGTGAAGCACCAGAGACATATATTATAGGTCTCTGGCAGCACGTACGCTTTTGTAATTTTTATACTTTTACAATACATGTATTAGAATCAGTTGTTTTATCCCATAAAGAGCAACAGATGGCTTACTACAGGTATATCACATATCTCCCAACTTCCTTGCTTGTTATAGTATTATATTAAGCAAGGAAGTTGGGAGATATGTTTTTTTTTAAATCGACACATCAAACCAATTATTGCAGAGACATTTACAAAACAATTGTAAATTTATTTGCGTACAGCACGACAAAGAGTTATCAATAGTTATTCCCTAGCAATTTTTCTAATGATATCGTCTTACACTACATTCATATTGCGTTCTTCCGTTTGTAATTTTCGATTTGATCCTACTAGCATATTACCGATCTCTAATATTTTCAAAATGTCTTAATTTATTTAACATGCAATTAATATCACTTAGATCTACTGATCTAGATGAGTAATGCACATAGATATCAGTTTGCATCCGGGATCCACTGTATATTGATATAATATATATACTTAACATATTGACCCACTGCAAACAAATCAGAAACATGATTGGGTTTAAAAAAAAATGATCAACAGGACCGTGCGGATCCAGCTATTTTTAAAAGGGGGGATTCCCAACCCTGGAGAAAGGGGGGTTCCCACCATAATGTCCCCATTCAAATGCATTGATCGTCCAAAAAAAGGGGTGTTCCAACCCCCGGACCCCTCCCCCTGGATCCGCCACTGATCAAATACAAATCTATTTTTTGTTGTACATACCCCCAAACAACTGTATAAGTACGGAAGTTCGATCAGAACTGATCCGTCCCCGAACAGAATTGTACACATAAATTTAGCGGGAAATAGAAATATACACAAATCATGGCCGCGACAGCTACACAGAATGCAATCACATTGAAAGGATCGACAGAAATAGTTTCCGAGTTCTTTTGTAAATGTTTCTTTTAATAGCAACTATTAGTATAGTTTTTATACAATGTTTATTTTTGAAACTTCCAGAATTTAAAGTGTTTAACCAAAGCCCCTTTTTTTAAGTTTTTGTTCTACCAGAGACATATGTCTCTGGTTCTACTAAAGCATGTCAAGTACAAAAATGTATGATGTAAATGGATATTAGGATAATAATTTATCATATAAAAATACACACTCACCCTTTGAGGTCATCACATGAAAAATGTCAGCATTTACACGACACAATTATTTTGAGTACAGACAATTTCATATCTATGCAACCACTGGGGCTTGTATCATAGATGTTTATTGGCTGGAATTACAATGTATATGCCAGTCCACTGGTTTGCATTCTATATTGTGTTTGTACACAATGTAGAATGCATACCAGTCAACCACAGGGTATAGTATCATAGATGTCTTTGGGCTAGAAATATATGGTATATTATGCACAATGTATTCTACACATAGCAGTCGGCTGGCATATATTTCCAGTCCAAATATATATCTATGATACATTCTCCTGTGATGCAACTGGAATTTTTATAATTTATGGCATGTGACAGAGACCTAGATTATGACGCATTCACATGTTAGTTGTTACATGCAGTACCCAAATTGCATCTATTTTGACAGTTTTTTCACCTAAGTTGGTTATTTTAACAGGGAATAAGACTAACATTTTCCAACTAGGGGCCCAACCTGCCACAATGTGAAAATTAACATAAGCACTATGGACATTTTAATAAATTTAGGGCCCAACCCAAATTTTATTAGCATTGGCTACTGGGCCCTGCTAATCTTTTTCCCTGTTTGAATTGATCATTTTTTAAATTTTTACTTTTTTCACGTGAGACTTTATTTGTTGATAAATAATGTGACAATTTGTGACAATTCTGCGTAAAGTTGCATATGTTTAGCTATATAATGGCAAATTATGAAAAGATGAATTGTTTAGAAAATCTATAAAATTGAGAATGGAAATATAACATGTACATACCTGCATGCCAACCTCTGAAACCTTCAAAGAGGGAGATCTCCCCCTCAGCTATGACAGCTGAGGGGGAGATTTTGCGCGAACGACATTTTCAAGTTAAATATATGACTTGTTTATTTATTCATCTACAAAACACCAATAAGAGTTAAAAGATATACTTTATTTCTTCGATTCATGGTTATACATGTAATCTATACAAGTTGTGTGTGTTTTTTTTATTTTTGCCTTTTTCCTCCGAGCCTTTTTCAATACCTCTGAGTCTCATAACTCGCAACATTCCATATTTTGATTTTGTTGTGAGACCCACACTAAATATAAAAAAGAAGATGTGGTATGATTGCCAATGAGACAACTCTCCACAAGAGACCAAATGACACAGAAATTAACAACTATAGGTCACCGTACGGCCTTCAACAATGAGCAAAGCCCATACCGCAGAGTCAGCTATAAAAGGCCCCGAAATGACAATGTAAAACAATTCAAACGAGAAATCTAACTGCCTAATTTATGTACAAAAAATGAACGAAAAACAAATTTGTAACACTTAAGGCCAAAATAAATAAATGGTGTGTTTCAGGTTTCCCGACCCTACCTCCGTTTCCGACGCCGACCCTAAACATTTTATTGACAAAAATAAAAATAAAATTCAAAATCCGGATTTTTTAGTCTGTCTGGAACCGATTATTCGTTAACATATTCAGAATACTATAGATCTTCAAAGCGTTTGATAATAACGACCAATATTGATAAGTAAAGCGTTTCAAGGACCAAGATTTTAAATAAACAAGCATGGCTTTTCGGCAACCGTGCAGCGTATTAGCTGTCAAATATGCGAAATGTGATCACATGGACGCAAAATATAATGACATCGATTCCGGATAATTACGATATGATGAATCTTTTTCAGGCCTCTACAATAACTTTTTTTTCAACTTGCCCAATAGGACAAGTACACATCAAAATTTACTTGTCCGAATGGAATTGTAACTTGTCCAAACAAAATCTTAATATTAACCTTTTTTGCATTTTAAGTTGATTCAATGAACATAAGAACAGAATTTGATTTATTTCTCTTGATATCCTTTTCAAAAATATTAGTCGAGAATAACTGAATCAAGTCATGTCACAGGACTTAGGTTCTAGTTTTCATCAATGCCAAAGTCTCATCAGACTCTGCACATGAGACACAGTCTGGTAGGCCTGTCAGTCTACACTCATTTGGTTTGTATCCTGCAGGTCTTTCATGTTGGTAAAATATTGATTATTATGATTAATGCCTTACTACAAACAGCTTTGTTTTTAATATATTAAAATGTTTATTCAAACGCAATCAAGTATTGACTATTGTTTTGTCTACATATGATCAAATATGATTCTATGAATTTTATGGTCAATAATTTCTTCATTTTTTATTTTAAAAAATATTTTTGTTAAATAAAATTTATCATATTTATTATAAGCAACAGAATAAGGTAGGGAAATGAGGTACTGGTTGGCTTGGTCCCGAAATGTCTATTAAACATGGAAGGATTGGTTTCCATCGGTGCTGAACTGTCTTGTTACCTTATCTACAAAGGGCATTCTTGATTTCATCTAAGACTGGTTTCCGAGAATATTACCGTTTTATCTGTTATAAAGTATCTGTCAAAGAACCAGTTTTAAATTATCGATTGCAAGTAAACATGTCAAATTAATATTTGTTTTTATCTTTTCTTGTTTTTTGTTTATTACTTTGTTCATCAAAGTTGGATTTCATTTATTTCTACAAAATGATTTTACTTGTCCCGTCGGACAACCTTGATCTAGCTTTTACTTGTCCGACCTTTTTTTCCTCTGGTACCGGACAATCGGACAAGCGTTATTGTCGAGTCCTGTTTTTGAAGAACATCAAGCGGACCTATAGACGAAAAAAATACGAAGTTGACGCACTTTGCTCAACTTCTTTGAACAGGTACAAGCGAGATTTTTTAAATATTTGTATATATAATGAAGTGTATTCAGTATATATACATATATTAACTAAATCTCGTCCTGTACCTGTGCTTCTTTGGACCAAAAGTCAGAATCGTTTCAGGTTGGACAGACTGTATCTGTCGGTAAATTGACTAACAATTTTATAGTAAAATGAGTTCAAATTTACTGCTAAAATCAATCCAGCTTTTGTTGTAAAACATGCTCTACGAATGTTGTACAGAATTGTGCCCAGGACGCAACATAAACGGCTGTTAATGCTTTTTAGTTTATGATGCAAGGGGACAGACAATGTGGAACGAGAAAGATGAAACTTGAGAAGCTTTCCCCAGTAGGCAGGCATGGTGTATGATTCATATTCATTTATAAATGAATCTGCCCCAGCACCATGTCTACTTTTATTCTTTTTTATTTCTCTGGCTGGTCCCATAACAATTTATACAAGAAAAGGGAAAAAATCCTGTCATATTTACATCTGCAATTTATTTGACCAGTAGATTAATGAGGTACCTTCATGATGAATTGTCACGAAATAGAAGTTCCTTCATAATAGAAGTTCCAAATGGAAAAAGTGTCCTGGAATATTATTTCCACTGGAATACATATTACAGTATATGTTCCTAACGGAATGAATGGTATAGAATATTTGTTCCAACAGGAACAGATATTATGACATTGATTATAACAAAATTTCCAGTGGAACTTCTGTTACGCAGAACAATTATATGTAGACAGAATAACGCTAAAAAATCTTTGCCATACGACGTTAACGGTAATTTTTGGTGCATGACGATAAAATGTACACTTTCTTTTAGACGGTAAAAAATCGACTGATTTTGACGAATCACGTAAAATTTTTTCCAAAAATAACGGTAACGATAATTATTTGAGACCTCTGACCAAGGATTTGTATAAATCCTTGCTCTGAAGAATCACGATAAGGATATTTTGATGAATTAAGGTAAAATTTTAACCAATTTGACGCTAACGGTAGCCGAAAATGACTGTTTGACGCCTGACGGTAAAGGGCATTACTACCCTCATTAATAAGACAAAGATTTCACATTCTCACTCTTCTCAAAACCTAGAATTTTAATATTGTCAGAACCACCCAATCTTCAATCAACATCACATTCTGTCAAACATCAAAACACATCTGTATTAAATAAAGAGGGTGCAAGGGCAGAGTATTAACCCTCAAAAAATCATAATTATCTGCTGCTTAGCATCGGTTCACAGTGTTTTCAAGGGATACTAATCTGCTTCCACATGTATACCCTGTGTGACATTTACATTTTTAGGTTCAACGAGGCCCAACATAATAACGTAAAAAATACGTATACCATGCCAGATTTTTCACTACAATTTTTGGTTTAAGATAATTAATCGTGAAGAACATACACTTTTCTTTTTACGACCAATGAAATGCATAAAATTTTCATTAAAGTTTATTTTCATATTTCTGACGCAGAACTAAAACAGAAAATTAAAAAAGCTGTAGATTTAATTACTATTCTAAATATCAGAGAAGCGGGCACATCAAACTATTTGATTTGGAACTTTTTTCTGCTGTCGCCTAATCAATAAAAAAATAAATAAAATGTTTTCATAAAATAAAATGTTTTACCTACCTACCCTACCTAATTTTTTTGGAGGTGAAATAGGAAACACACCATTAATTTATTTTGGCCTAAACAAATGACAACCACTGAATTACAGGCTCCTAACTTGGGACAGACACATACATACAGAATGTGGCAGGGTTAAACATGTAAGCATGCTTTCAAACGTCGTACAGACCACCAGAAGAAACAAAAAAGTTGATTGAACATGATGTGCAAAATGAAGATTCATTGCCAAGTGTCAGTGAACTTGGTCCTAAAAATTAAAAATCTTTCATTCAGTCTGCTTGACATATCGATTTGCAGTTATCTATTTCTTCTTTTTTACACTGCCGATTGGTCCAGACAAAGACCTCTATCTTGTTGGAGTTGACATAGCAGAAATGAATT